ATGTTGGAAGCAGCTTTTCCGCCAGCTAACCGAGATCACCACCGCATCGACTACTCACCGTTGTGCAGCGAACTCCACGGAATCCTGCATTTACCGCTTCTTCACGCCTTTCGCCGCACACAACACCCCGCTGATCGAGACCGCCATGGTTATTGATGACTCTCCTCTGGAACGCGGCGGCAGCCCTGCCAGCGAGCACAAGCTCACGCAGGTTCGAATCCGACATCGCGCACAAAGCCCACATGCTGAGCGAGCCATGCCCGCTTATCTTTTCCAGCCCAAGTTCTACGCGAGCGCCATCGAGCACCTGCCCCCGAACGCAGACTACGACAACCTCGCCCCGATCGGCAAGTAGAAAGCCCTCAAGGAGAACATGATTACTGCTGCTTCCCAAGCTCGCGACGCACTCGCGCGCCTCCATCCTGACGCCCCCGAGTCCGACCACAACGCCATCTCCAAGGAGGTCAACTCCATGACCACGCGCGGCATTGCCCGAGCGGCGTGGCACCAAAACGCCAAACTCGCCCGCATTCTCATCGACAAGTCGACATTGGGCGCGAAGTACCCGCAGATGAACGCGACCCCAGCATCCCCGCATTGCTACTCTGTCATCGTGCTGAAGGACCCTGCGCTCTCCGCGACTGACGCCGCCACCTACCACGCCGCGGCCTCTGGCGAGCGACGCGCTCAGGCTGCTGCCGCTGCTCGCCAAGCTTTTCAATAACCACGGCAGCTACGAGGCGACAGGTGGCGGAAACGAGTCAACACTGAGCGGGGGGAAGGTGAGCTTTGGAAGCCCTTTTCCAAGCGCCTGGTGCTCGCTGGTATCCGAGTGTCCCACGGCGCGCCCAACGCGTTGCTCAAGGACCCAAAGGACACGCACTCCGCCATTCAAGCCCACTGCATTCCGATCTTCATCGACAAGCCAGTAGACACCAACGCCATGAACTCACACCTTGACCCCCCCCCCCCCGCATGCCGACCTTTGACGCCGCGATTCCCGACGAGCACGACCTCTATCTGGCAGCGAAGAACGCTTCTGATTCCGCACCTGGACCCGGCGGTCTTCCTTATCGTGCCTGGCTTGCCCCTCCCAACAGTTTCTCCATCTTCGCCGAGCTCGCCACTCATCTACCCAGCGGCCTCGCTTTCCCGCGCGCGCCACACCATGCCACGATGGCAATATTACCGAAAGGGGGCGAACCTGCCGTGCAAACAGCGCGCGCCCGTAAACCTGGAAAGTTATGCCCCCTCGCCACGAAGAACACTGACGTGGATATCACCACTTCCGCCACGAACAGAAAGCTCAAGCCGCTGATGCAAACTATTGCGCCCATCCAGCGTGGCTCTGCCCCTGGGCGACAGTTTTTGGACAGCATTGTCGAGGTCGACACAGAGAGCCGCAAGTATAACACCCTTCCTGATGCCCAAGCGCTTCAACCATGCTTTCTGAGCTTGGACAATGCGGCCGCCTTCCCGAGCCTCTCGCACACCTGGATGTGAAACGCCCTACAGAGGTGGGGTATGCACGGCCGAATATTCACCCTGATACAAGCGTTTCACCACACGCCGATCGCGCTGCTCGAAATGGGAGGCACGCGCCGACCGCTCTTCCTCGCATCAAGTGGGGTCGCGCAAGGTTGCCCCCTTCAGTGGCGCCATCTTGGCATTAATCTTCGGTCCCCCACTGGCCGGCATCAACGACTACTTCAAGACAGTCCAAAGGGGTATTGCCACAGCATGCGCGGATGATCTAGGATGCGTTCTTGTTTGTCTCCGTGACATTGAAGGATTACGACCTCACTCGTTTGCGAGGTTCCAATATGTTGGCCTTCACCTTCAACCACGCAACTGCATGTTGGCCCCCGTCTGGACCATTGCCTCTTCCGACCTGGTCGACAGCATGAAAGACATTCTTGCTCACATCCACGCCGATTAGGCCCTCTTTAAGGTCGAGTCCACAGCCAAGTACCTCGGCGTCTTCATGGGGCCTGGAGCTGACGCACGTACCCAATGGTCTGGCCCTGCCGCCAAGTGGCTGCACCGTGCCCAGATCCTCGGCGAATCTTACGCACCGACCCAGCAGAACACCAAGTCGTACAACTCCTCTGCGCTGACGGCGCTATCCTACTTTGGCCAACTCTTCCCTGTACCTGAACTGATTCTCGGCCGCGAGATTCACGCCCCCCACAAGATAATCCGCTCGCCGCCCTCGGCCTTCGCCAAGCTGGGCAGATTGGGCATGGCGAATTGGGCTGGAGCTGACATCCCCACTGGCGCAGAAGTGCTGATGAGTGCGACGCTGTGGAGAGCTACTGCCACTACCATCAAGAGTTTCCCCCCCCCCCCCCCCTGATAGACATGCCCAACGGGCCCGTCATGGAGAACCCCCCATAGTCGCTACAGTGAATGCGCACTGGTCTGCCGAGTGTTGGGCTGCGCCCTTCTCGATTGTCCAACATCTCCAAGCGGCGAAGAATGGCGCCGCTTTCCCAACGGGCAAGGTCCCCATACTCGTGACTCTAAAAAGAATAAAGAGCGCAGGCTACGCGCGACGGCAACTTCTGGGTGCTCGCCGCAATGCTGCAGCCTCGGCGCTCTTACCGCCACGTCGTCCCGTTCCTGCTCCTGCGAGGAGCGCACATCGACACAGTGCACCTCAATCGAAGTACTTGGCCACCCTCCAGACCCACCTTTACGAGGACAACTTCGACATCACCATCGTGAAGAGGCTGAAGTCCTGGCCCCCGTACATCCCCATGGCTGCTGACGGGCATGGCCCCACAGCAGGGGGGGGGGGCACCAACTACTCAGCCCTGCTACCCAAGCATTACTGAGCTCTACGTTTTCGACTTCTCCGCAGACGACATCGACTCCTGGCACCTTTTCTTCTGCGCCCGCACCTGATGAGGGCCAAGGCGACCATATCGCTGTTGCTCGTGAATTTCATGTTCTTGCTGAAGCACGCACGCATTGGGCCGCGGATTGGCCCCCCGTCTTGTACATCGACAACTGGGGCCGCACTCTACGTCGAGACAACGATTGGATGGACTGGCGCGAACAATATGTGCTCCGTCATCTTCGCCCATGGAGTTTCCGCATCCTCTACACCGCCGCATCGGAAGAAGACCTTCGTCGCCGCGCTCACAGCATACGCCGACAGGAGTGGCGCGACTCAGACGCCAACCGCAACGGCTGGGCGGTATACATGACGAGGGTGCCGCGACCAAATGACATACAAGCGGCGTGCAACCTTGCGGCCGGGGAGCGCCGTCTTCGTCGCCAGTGGATACACATGGCCGACTTCGTCTCTGACCCGTCCGGCAACACTTACATCGAGGAGATCAATGAGAATATTCATCCAGAAGCTGGCTCGTTCAACGACCTGACCGCAGTGTACAGCTTCCGAACAGTGCCAAGACCCATTGGCGGCGCACGCGAGCAGTTATCGCCCGCATGCCCCCTGCACGATTCTGGCCCACGATGAAGACCCTGGCTGGCGCCTGGTCAACGTCATGCCGTCTTCATTTACAACCTGATTGCCGCCCTGCATATACGGGTGCAACGCGAACTACGCAACGGATAGCATCGCGCACTACCTCATCTGCCCTAGACAGCGGCACGCATGGCATATCCCAGGGGTTGCCTGTCGAACTGCTTACTGGCCCGCCTCGGGATGCACGAGAGCTGCCACAATGTCGACCCGAACAGAGAGAACCACGTCTCCCACGCGACGGTCCGCCTGGCCGTCGCCTACCGCATGTACCACACATACAAGGGTTATCAGGCTTCCTCCGTCGACGTGAACGCGTTCGAGGCCTCGGCGTACAACCATATGAATGAAGCGCAGCGCGTGCCGCCGCACGCCAGGCCCTCCGTCTCGGCGCATCGCCGCACGGAGGCAGTAGCGCGGGCCTGCCGCCAGCCGCTGGTCAGCCTGTCTCTCCTCCCGACCGTCCGCCGCCCCGCTCGTCCTCACGTGTTCCTCTCTTCCGGCCGCCCGACCGTCCGTCTCTTCCGCTTCGAAACGTAATCTACGCAGAATGCACGCCGCCTGTGCCGCCCCGCGCGCCACCTGACGCAGCCAGCGCAGGTGACGGCCGCTGGACGTTGATTCGCCCCCTCCAGGATTCGTTCGCTCCTCCTCCTCCTCCTCTTCCTCCTCCTCCTCTTCCTCCTCCTCCTCCACGTCCTCCTGTTCCTCCTCCTCCTCCTCCACCTTCTCTTCTTCCTCCTTTTCCTTTTCCTTCTCCTCGTCCTCCTCCTCCTCCTCCTCCTCCTCCTCCTCCTCCTCCACCTCCTCCTCCTCCTCCTCCTCCTCCTCCTCCCCCTTGAGGTCTGGACCCCATCCCGAGGACCTGTTTTTCATCCCACGAGTTGTCTTTCGACGGTCCCCAGGTTCAGTGAGGGCCCCCAGAAGCAGAAAATCAGCAGAAGTTCCCCGTCGTGGTTGTCCAGGAAACCAAACGAAGGCATAAACAGAAGAACCCGGAGGTTCGCGCGGATTTTTTGGATCGGCGCTGGACCCTCCTAGCGGCGCCTGTGGCGCCGCCCCTGGCGCGCTCCGCGCGCCAGGGGGGGGGTCCAGCGCCAATCCAAGGAACCTGCGCGGACCCCCGACTCATTATGTTTATTATACCGATTCATTATTGAGTTAGTAGTTAGTTTTCCATGTTCACAACGAGAGGCGGTATGGCTAGCGCGCGCCCGAAAGGTGAGGGATTGGGTGTACAGCCTCCAGCACGAGCTCGCGGAACTCTTCGAGGGCACTCCTGCGAGCAGCAGCGCCGGCAACATGGCCCGACAAGGCTCCTTAATCGGCCGGCGGCTCTCGCGGAAACCCCCGCCCATGATGGCGGTGTGAGGCTTCGCCCAGCGTCGCGGTTTCCACGCGGCGTTTTCTTGCACGGCCTCCTCGTCAATCCGCCCTCCTTCCGTCCTCCTTGTTTGCCTGCTCACCCTGCCGCTTCTCCACCTTAATTTGGCGATAATGCCCCATCGGGCCGTCCTCCCTTTCGAGTCCTTCTTCTTATTGTTATTATTCCTATTCTTCTTATTGTTGTTATCATTGTTATTAGTATTATTATTCTTCGTATTCTTATTATTAGTATTAGTCTTGTTATTTTTCTTAGTATTCGTATGATTGTCATTAGTATTGGTACGTTTCTTATGTATCGTCTTCGCCCTCTTCCACTAATTATTAGTGTTGCTAGTATTCTTCTTCGGCCTCCTCGTATTCGTCGCCATGCTCAAGCCCGACGGCACGGTCGGGGACCTGGCACCTCGTCCCCCTCCTCCTCCTGCCCCTCCTCTTGCTCCTCCTCCCCCTCCTCCTCCTCCTCCTCCTTCTCCTCCTCCTCCTCCTCCTCCTCCTCCTCCCCCTCCTCCTCCTCCTCCTCCTCCTCCTCCTCTTCCTCCTCCTCCCCCTCCTCCTCCTCCTCTCCCTCCTCCTCCTCCTCCTCCTCCTCCTTTCCTCCCTCCTCCTCCCTCCTCCTCCTCCTCCCTCCTCCTCCTTCTCCTCCTCCTCCTCCTCCTCCTCCTCCTCCTCCTCCTCCTCCTCCTCCCCCTCCTCCTCCTGCTAATCCTCACCATCATGCTCCTCCTTCTCCTGCGCCCACTCGCTCCCCTCCTCCACAGTAGGGCCGCGGGCAGATCTGCCCATGGGCGCGTCCTCTGCGCGCGCCCTCGCTCGCTCCAGCGTGGGCAGGGCACGTGCGGCGCGAGTCCCCCGAAGTGACCCCATCTTGGCATCGCCCTCCCTCGCCCTCCCTCGCCTCCTCTCCCCTTCTCGAAGGAGAAAGAAGACATAAACATAAACTTTCGGCGTTCCGCGCGGATTTCTTTGCCGCGCTGGGCCCCCCTGGCGGCGCCTCCGGCGCCGCCCCTGGCGCGTTCCGCGCGCCAGGGAGGGGGGTCCAGCGCAGATCCAAGAAATTCGCGCGGAGCGCCAAAAGTTCATGTTATGTTATTGTTCTACCTTCGCCCACATCTCTTCGAGCGGTTCCCGCGTGCGGCTGAAGAGGAGTCCTTCAGGCCGTCCGCCCGAGGTCTGCTCATCATTAGCAGCAGCAGCTGCGGCACAGACATCATGGCCATCACCATCATCCGTCACCATCATCACGACCACCATCATCCGGCACCGTCGTCACCCCTTCCGCGCCCACTGGCGCTCAGAGTGTTGACGCTTCGTGGGCGGTCGAAGTCTGGACGCTTCGTGGATGCCGACCAGCGTCGGGTCGCCTTTGCCGGGGAAGCGTAGGAACGCACAGCGGCACGGAGAGGGGGCAGCCGCCCCACCGTGTCACCACACGCACCTCCTCTGCTTCGCGTGTCGCTCGGCAGAAGCTTGCGGGCCGCTGATCGGAGAGTGCCGCAAAACAAAACGGCCTGCGTGATGAGCCAGCGCTGCTCCTGCCGGGCGGAGCGGGGGAGCAGCGGGGGGGGACACGGCAGGGGCGGAGCGTTTTTGTTGGGAGGGGGAGGGGGCCGTCCAGAGAAGAGGGGGGGAGAAGGAGGAGAAAGAGGAGGAGGAGGAGGAGGAGGAGGAGGAGGAGAAGGAGGGGGAGGAGGGAGGAGGAGGAGGAGAAGGAGGTGGAGGAGGAGGAGGAGGAGGAGGAGAGGAGGAGAAGGAGGGGGAGGAGGAGGAGGAGAGTGGGGGGAAAAGAGGAGGAGGAGGAGGAGGAGGGGCGAGGAAAAGAAGGAGGGGGGGCGAGGAGGAGGAGGAGGAGGAGGAGGGGGAGGAGAAGGGGGGGGCGACGAGGAGGAGGAGGAGGAGGACGAGGACGAGGACGAGGAGGAGGAAGGGAAGCCAGAGTTGTATGTCGGATCTCGGTTCGTCGCTCCCCCCCCCCAAGAAAAGAAACGAACAAAACATAGTTGCACGCATGTTCGAATAAGATGTGTAAGTATATATGTGATGTACATACACACCTTATATATGTATGTGTGTGTGCGTACATACAGATATACATGCATGCACATACGACCATATTTAGATAAATGTGTTTACATCGATATGCCATCGCGGGTTTGCCATTCCGGTTCCTACGTTCTCTGCCACGCATCTTGCGTGTTGCGCCCACCTAGGTCTTTCATTATATTACAACAACCACTTCACCGAGGTCAATTGTTCCGTTTCGTTGTTGTTTGCCGCATAGACGTTCCAGTTCGATTGCTCACTCCTCGCAAAGTAAAATTGAGGACCTCTTCCTCCTCATCCCTCCTCCCTCCTAAGTCCTCCGTCCTCGTCCTCCTCCCCCTCCTCCTCCTCCTCCTCCTCCTCGTCCGCCTCCTCCTCCTCCTCCTCCTCCTCCTCCTCCTCCTCCTCCCACGTGCCTATGTTGCACGACCATTTTGGCGCGATGGTCGTCAACGGGGAGGTTGGTTGGGACATCGTTGTCTACGCACCTCCTTGTAAGTCCATCAGGCACCGGCCTACCCGCAAACAGCCCCGGCAGCCGAGCACATCGCGGTGCTCGCGGCCATGGAGCATTGCCCGCG